ATTGACCTCTTGGTCTTCTTTACTACCCAAAGGTCAAGACAGGGTTTGTTTTTGACATTGACAGAGTACATGTTGGACCTTCCATCCTGACATTTCACACTGGAATACCTCCGTGATCTTTCATCCTGATCAGACAACCCATCTGCTCTGGTCTGCACACATTTTCAGTCAAACACTATTCTCAAATCTTTGAATTCAGGAACTCTTAGCTTGAATGTTTGAAGAAAGATTAAAAGATATCTTCTGTGAGTGAGTGTGTGTGACATTTCTTTTTGAATTAAATGTTACTAGAGTTGCTATTCTCTATAGAATACTTACAATTGCAAGCCTGTTTTGACATTGATTTGTATTCAGTTGAAAACAAATCAAAGGGAAGAATGGGGTAGTATGGTACTGGTTCCAAAGATGGTGCCTAACTTTCATGTCCCAAACAGACCTGTATAGGCTTTTTAGGAAATGTCTCAACATTTATCAAACATCACACTTCTAAAGGTCAGAAAACAACAATGCCAATGCAAATATGTTTTCAAGTAGTAAGCAAGAACTTCAGCCAAACAGTTGGTAACAATCCTGGTGGTCAAGGACAGCAACTGACCCACTGGTCAACTTGAACATCCATTAGACTCTGACCCTCCCACCCCATCCAACCATATGGGACCATGCTGTTGCTAAGCAACCCAGCAGATCAAAGACAAGCAAGAGTTGCAGACAAAAATGTTGCGCTTGTATTTGGGGGGCGTCATGTCAAGCTTAGCATAACTGACCAAGTATAGCAGTCTGACTTTGCCAATGTTGAGCTGTGACATTGGTATAGTGGGTCACTTGATAGAAGCCAACAAATGTTATTATTCTGTGACAGTGTAATTCTGATTTTAGAATGTACGTTTTGCTGAGAAGAATTCTAGACAAGTTTGTTTTATAATAGGAACGACTACAAAATATGACATGTCAAATGTGAGCATAAATTTGATGAAGGAATAGGAGTAGTTAGTCTACAGCTCTTCCAAAATGCAGTTGTATAAGCACTCGCAAAATGTCAAAACCGGAAGAAACGCTTGCTTTGCACGCCGATAATCCACAGCCATGCCAGAACAATATAACACCCAGCCAGCAGACACCGTACAATTAATTACTCCTCTTCTGGCCGAAGGAACACCTGCAAAATTTATAGACACTGCGGTTGATGTTACTGCTCCTTCAACTGAGAAATGGAAGGTAATTTCTATGAATACTTAATAATAGGCTGGTCTGTGGATGCCCTTTCCGTAAAAGCCAGCGCTAACCTCAACATTTATCAGCAAGGACGCGTACAGTTTGCCATGGTCTGATTGCTCCTTGGTGGGTCTACCCACGTTGTGCTATATAGGCATGCTGCTGATGTGTTTATACACTAACAAATGGAAGAAAATGTTTGTCTAATATGTAATATCTAATCATTGTAAAAGTGATTCTCTTTGCCAGCATTTAGGTTAGATCCTAAGCTGTCTCTATTTTAATTCCATCTTTAGATATGTGTGTAGTAGTTTAATGTGTATAGGAGGTTAGGCTTATTATTGTTGATCATATGATTCATATGTTTGTGCATGCAGATAACTGAAGAAGCTGATCCTAATGATTTCGAGATATTGCCTTTGGAATGAGGAGTAAATGTTTGTTACATGTACAATATGATCATATATCATCATCATCGTTACATCATACAGTTGGGCAACCTTGCTTTTCATACAGTATGCATTCTGATATGACAAGAACTGTTTCACTTCTGTAATTTCTGTTTAAAACTTCCTGGTAGTCAGTCGTTGGTTGGCTAGGTGCCACTGTCTCAGGAACAACAACAGCAGCAGGCACCATCAAAGTGTTACAAATCACCGCCGTGCAAACTACCCTTCTGTAGAGCAGCTGCCGGGCCGCCGCACGACGACTGCATATCGATAGGGGAAGATTTGCGCCGGGATCTGGCCCGTCAGACGACGTTGCGGAGACAATCATGGCGGGACAGCTCAGTGGAGCTTCACATTAAGATTTATAGATATATAATATCCCATAATCTTCCTCGATCTATCACCACTTGTTGGGAGGGTGTCTAACGGGCTGCCGAATGTATGCCCGATGCGAGCGGCTCAATCCCCCAATCTCGGAGCTGCTCGGCAACGCGGCACTTACAGGTCTATCATTGGACGGCGAACGCATTTGTTCAATCCGGCGCGCTGCCTTTCTATCGACTGAGCAGCACTAAAAGCGGCATTACGTTCAGTTGGAAAACGGGCCTGCAACAGTGTATCCCCCCATCAAGAGGAATCTGAGGAACACTATGATGAAATGGGTGCACTGTGTAAGGGAATTAGTGGCTCAGGCTCAATTTCACAGTAAAGCACTCCTGACACATGCACGGTCTAGTGATGTACACTTCATGGCTTTCAGGGGCATCTTCCTGACTTCAATTCCATTTTCCTGGTTTTGTAGTAGCTGCGCTGTAATAGTCCCGATTCAAACCTTTCAATTGGGCACTCAATACAGGCCAGCACACACCACACTGGCTCCAATACCAGCTGACAATGCGTCAGGTTAACGGTCTCGGGAGGGGGATCATGATATCATAAGATATTTATAGAGCAATAGAGAGCCAACCACTGTCTTGTCAATCCAGCTGCTGCTGTGGACTCCCCAAACCGGTATGTGGCAGGGGAACGGGAGGTCAGAGCCGTAGTTAAACATATTTTCATATCATATCAATAACTGGTGCCTGTCTGTCACAGGAAGACAGCTGGGGGAGACCTAACCCTCTGAAGAATTTTATCTTATCACATGATAGACTGTTGGATAGGGAGGGGAGGGGGGTGGGGTTACTATGATGCCGTGTTACTACACAGACGAATAATAGATCACACACTTAGTAGTAAATGTTATAGCCTTGTCCCTAGGAATAGAGCTCGTTCTTGGGGAGACTTCACAATATAAAAATGCATTGATTTTTCATAACTTTGATCATATCATACCAAATCGGCTACACCATTGGGTGCACTTGGCCAAAGCACTGGTGCCATTTCCAGTCACTGCCTATCCTTGATGGAATAATATGCTGTTCCATGCAATATTGATATTGTACAGCATCTTGAAAGATATAAAGTGCTGGTGCAACAAGAACCTTATTACCGTTATGTCTTATTCAACGCTTCTCAGAGGTGATAAGCTTTGTGATAAACTTTTATCGCACAATTATTGCAGAGCGTCTAAATCAGAATTCAATGGGATTAACAGCTAAAATGTTACGTCAATGGTGATTCAATGATTATGGTCGTAGCATTTCGAGATGACAGACTCAATGCCGCAACAACCTTCATATTTTCTATCTCAGCGTAGTCGGTACTACGTAACTTTATCTTCAAGTGCGTTTCCAAGGATTTTTTTTTTACTTCCGGGTACAAAAGTATTTTTGGTGCAGCTGAGCTGTGTGTTTGTCATGACAGAATGTGGGTGTGGAGAAGATTGACAGGCACTATGACATAAGGTCAAAGGTCTCAGAATCTGACTAGGGGGCCAGCAGGAGCTACAGAGGTCAACATTGAGGAATTCAGTATGCATATTTTCCAGAAGTCTCAAATCTCTGATTTCTTGTGGCTTTTGTTGCAAATGCCCCCAAGGATGCCATCAACATGTTGACAGGAAGCTTTCTAATCACCAACTTGAAAATTTGTGAACCAAGGCCAAAGTTGATTTGATTCACCCTGACTCATCATGATTGTTGGCAGAGATAAATGTTGACGTTTGGCTGACAAAAAAGGCACAATTCATGCCAAACCTGTTGTTACAGTACTTCCCGTGCTATACTGACTGGAGTGGAGGCCTGCCAAGTTCTAAAATGTAACGATCAACTTCAGCATTTTGGCTTGGAGTTCTTCCACTAAGCATGGTCCCAGTAATTAGCAAAATCATTGGGCATCCTACCAAATGGCACGATCTACCCTGCATACTGGCACACTACATGTTCCCTAGTAGTAATAGTAGTATCCAGTCTTGGATTTTCATTCATGCAGAAAAGAATGACTGGTTGTTAAAAGCACCTGGATGTTTCAGCAACTCCAACAGCGAAAATGAAATTCCACAAAACTTTTTCATTCATTTGCCTTTTTTGTGACATTTTTCTCAATGGCATAAATTAAGTTCATGATCATTTTAGCTGAAGAGAAGACCATCTGTAGAGGCATTTTGTGACTCCTAGATAACTTAAACATCTGCTGGGAGAATCAAGCCTATTTGAAGATGGAGAGTGTGAAATTCCCCAGCTCTGGAGTGGATATTGGGCTGAAAGGTTATACACAACTGATTTAGCGTTGGCCAAACATTTTCGCACGACCCCTGGCCCTCCGCAATCGCGGCGCCGATATTTCACACAAGTACGCCCTCTCTTCACACGCCCAAATATGTAGTGGTTCTTATTTCTGACGAGGATGGTCTACGAGGCGAGAAGAAGATTCTTGAGTGTGCTATCTTCGCTCGGCGCTCACGCCAAGTGGTATCCAAATATGGTGGTCCGTTTTAACTGCCTTGCATTAATAGAAATGCTTCAAGAATGAAGACATTTTGCAAGCATCAGGCCAAGTTTAGAAACTGAATTATACCACAACATGTACAACAACATATTAACTTTCATGTTCAAATTCATTTAAAAATTTCAAGTCTTGGAAAGAAGTTCAAGTTAAGAGATTCAAGTTAACAGAGAATTTAAAATGGTACATTAAAGTCTGCACAACAACTCCCTTGGATCTAAATACCTTTTCCCTAATATATGGCTATGGTTACACCCATGGCAGCAATGGAGGAGAAAATCTAGCTCCAAGTCCAACCATTCCAAACGACACCTTTGACCCAGATAAGAGCCTAAATACTGTAGGCACTAATAGAAGACTGTCCTATAAGGAACACAATGCGATACAAAATCAATTTAGACTCCAGCAAGTACGCAACAAGCAATGACGGTGGCACTAAGTTGTAATACTCACGTCTGGGTGTTCTTTAACTGGCACGTATAGTTTTTCCGATAACGTCATTGTGGGGCCGTCTGGCGCTGGAAGCTCTAGCGGCTTAGAGTTGTTCAACTTGAACAGGTTTACCCGAACTTTGCTGATTTCTGCAAGAGAATGAAATGGTGAAAAGGTTAGCTTGAAAATTAGATCAGCTTTACACAAGATTTTTTCTATTGTGGTACGGGATTTTTTCTTAAAGAGAAAGAATAACTATTACCAACATGTTCAATGATCCTTGGACTTGAACATAAAGACACTTATCATGATCAGTATCGACCATGAACTTATGAGTTGAACAAAGATTTAAAACCTCCCAAATTACTGATATAATAAATCAATACTAATGATGATTTGAGACACACAAAGATACACATCTTTAATTTCTTATCGTATTGACAACTGGTATGCTTGAGGAGCATTATCTCTCAATGCTATCTTAGTGCGTCCTTGGTTGACCTTCATTTTCACACAAGGCAATTCCCAGAAAAACTCGGATAAACAACAAAAAATCATAGTTCACAGCATAAATTATCCCTGCTGAAATAATGTGTTCCCCACACTAATTAATATAATCAAGCACGGCATCAACAATGTAACATATAGAGCTTTCCTACTTTGCTGGTCTCCTGTGTAATATCATTAAACAGCCTGGTATTGAATTAACCTAGCAAGAGTCACCTTGAAATGAAGGAATCTACCACCATAAAATTGATTTCCCCAGAAAAGAGAAATAATTTATGTAGCATCAATAGTGTTAACAACTTTCTAATGTTAGTTGTTACTCTGCATTTACTTTCTTATTACTCATTTTCTTAACGCTTTGATAGCTTTGCTGAAACATTGCCATTATGTTCCTTATTAGCATGCAGAATGATACTTGTTTTTCATCTGTGAAGTGCTGTGTAGTCTACTGCACACCCTGTGACTTTGGAGTAGTGTTCATCACACATGTGCAGTCAGTCTTGTACTCTGACAATGCACTGTAATTTCTGAAATGTTTGTAGTTTGATTTTCACCATCATTACCATTACACTGCAAATATGTCTTTTGTGTTTCTATTGAAATGTTTTAACTGTGAACACTGCGCACTTTTCTCTCATGCCGAGAAATAAATCTTCCGCAAAAGTACAATGTATATGCATTTAAACTATGTACCAGAAAAGGACAATAAATACAGTACTGTAGACAATGAGTGTCTTGAGTTAGTTGGTACCTTCATGTGTGTGTTGGGGGGTAGCACTATTGGACAATTTGTTGTTAATTTGCTACCGCAATAGAAAAAACAAACTTATTTCATCTCACAATTGAGCTAAAGAATTATTTCAACACACATCGGTTAAAACTTTCTATGCATGCCACGACTTCTGCAACAAAATCAAGACAATGACGACCTCTTGCGCGCTAGACAAGCAAAGAGCTGTTTATCAATTCCCCTTCTGAAGTGTGCAGTCGTCGCAGAGTGAGACTTCAAGGTCGAAACAGGAATTGGTTTTGAGCAGGCGACCGAGAAGCCTAGAATTCCATTTGAGTTGGGCGAGTTAATGAGTCGTCGGGGTTCCCGTCCCCATCAGGGGGAAATGAAGACAAGCTAGCTGGTGGACAGCGGAATCATCGGGCTAAATGGCCCAGGAAACTAGAGCGCCATCATCTACGCATCAGGAGTTTTGGGACAGTTACTCTCCATGTAAATATCTGCCTCTGAGAATACTGCGGATCTTTGGGTATAAGTAGCTTATAAGGCAATTTTGAAAGGAATCGTTGTTAAACTTTGTCTTTGTTAGACTTTTAAGGGAAAACCAATTCTAACTTGCATTGGAAACAGCAATATTGGAAAGTGTGTGGGGGGGGGGGAACTACTTTCATCTATTTCTGTTTCAAGTTCAGTGCTTAACCTACTTTATATTATGTATAGAGGGCCACTCTACTCTTTTGATAATACATAGTTGCTATGCTTTCCGGCTCCCAGTTCACAATTTGCAACTTTTTCGCTGCTTATACATTTATCTTTCTCATAAAATCTCGAGATATCCGTGCAAAAGTGACATAAAGATTAAAGACGCGTACTTCGCTGTCACTCTAACACAGTAGGAAATGGTGCTTTTGAAGAATTTTCTCTTTTGATGTACTCTTGTAGAGAAGCATGACGCTGGGAAAGTGGATTATGTCCATTAGGGGCCCAATGATTGTGCCATTATTGGACCACCAGGGAAATTCTCCAGTTCAGCGAACGCGAAGACGGTGGCAGATGGTGGGAACTCGTCGTGGCGCCGTTCGCGGAAGCATTACCTAACAAAACGGCTTCCATCGGCGCCTGCAAATCACGACAAAATATCGTTTGCCACTGAGAATTAGCTGACATACAAGGATGCAAATAAATAAAAATAACCAAATTTTTTAGGTAAAATGATAAATGTATTTTGTGGACTCTTGGGTCAATGATTATGATAACTGATTATGATAACTGATTATGTGATCTATGCCAGGACAAATATCTTTGAAAACTATTAGCAACCAACTGACCGTGATATTTTTGGTCCAGGTAAGTCTACTACAATCCTTACTATGGAACCAAGACCACCTAGAAATATTGACAGATTAGCACCATCACTCATCCAATCTTCCAAACCAACTTTTCAGTGTGTGGACCACATAGGAAGGAAGTGGGAAGAAATGAAAACTTCCTGTTATGAAACTGGCCAAGCCCTTGACTTTCCAACCCTGGCCCGTCTCAAGAGAGCCTTGTCAATTAGAGGGTTTGCAACTAAATACACTTTGCCAGCCCCTCTTTGTGGTCGAACAAAACTGTCTGTTGATAGGCATGGTACAAACTGATTGAACCATCCCCAACTTTGTGGGTATCCAGAGTTTTCTTCCTTTGTAAGCCCTTGGCTACAAATAGAATATAGATGTGGTATACTCACTTTGTCATTGCTGTTTTCTCTTTTCAAAATACTAGTCCAATAAACTCTTTGCTTCAAGTTTCTCACGAATTTCCTAAAAATTATAATGATTCATTAATTTTCCATTGGAATAGATATCAGCTTCAAAAGTCTTTTATTTGTTGAGATAGGTGTCCTCTATCTTTGTGTGTGTGAAATACAGAGAAAGAAACTGCCTCTGCCAACCCTTTTACTATTCTGTTTGTTTATTTGCAGGCCTAATGTTGTACAGGGTGAGGCTTTCAGCCTATACACTCCCCAGATGGCAGTAGTCCTGGGAAGCTGGAACTGTTATCCCCCTGGTTTTGGTCCATGAAGGCAGAGATCCCCTGACAAATGTACAGGAATGGTCCACAGCTGGCATGACAGGGCTGGACTATTTACTCTGATTTGCTGAAATTTTGTATCCAGGGGTCGGCAACAGTGAAAGAAAAACATTTGTAGGTTTTATGGTAGCATCCAATCTGAGATGGTCAGATTTCCTGATACCGAGTTGGTCGTACATATTGTACTGTAATAACGATCTGATGCTCAAACGTTTGACATGCTATTGCTCCATATGGGTGATGTGTCATGATCAGATAACATCAATGATCAATGGAATTTGAGGATTCCTTTCAAAGCATTCAAGGAAGCTTCAACAAAGGGGCTGTACAATTCTACAACTGCTATCAAAAGGGATGCTACAATATCAATCCGAAAGGTACCATAAAAAGAGAAAGATGTACTACAAATTATTATAGACAGATCACCTTTGAACAAACAGCTCTCTGTTCAGGAGCTTTATACACTCCAGAATGGCTCATGGCCAAGGTCTTTCTAAGAGGACTGAGGCAAATTTTCTTTGGGGACAATGTTGGCCACAGGAGCTAGTCTGTGTAGGCCCTGGAAACAGTCTGGCTCCAGGGCTGCTCACAACTATCTGTTGAGTCACTGTTTTGTTCTGTCATCACTAAATGCTTTTAATCAGTTCCATCCTGTGGACACCCCATGATTCATATCTCTGATCCATCTTCCTGTAAATGGTTGCTTACAATCTAATGCATATTTCAATGTAATCATATAAGTGGCAACTATACCATTTCCTGTGGTGACATCTGCTTTGCTAATACACCTTTCTAACTCTACTTAAAACAAATACAAAGGTTCTGTTGTTTATTTCAAGAACATATGTTAGTTATCTTCAAAATCAAAACCCTCCCAATTTCGATCTTGGTCACTTTCTCCCCTTTTGGTTTGCCGTGATAGATTCATTCTTCTGAGGATCTGTTGCAGTATTTTTTGACACACAGGGCAGTGGGGGTCACCCCTGCAAAACTAGAAACACACTGACCACTTGAAGCTTACCATTTGTTGCAGATTAAGTCCAGTGTCCCTTGTTAATCATGTCAAAGTTTGTCAACTCTGCTAGGTTTTTTTCCTGAAGTTCACTGACCTTCACATTATATACAACTTTCTTCTAAGTGACAGCTACAAACAAATTACAGAGCTTTACTTCTTTCCATTTTTCCAGAATTTCAACCCCAAGTCAGTAAATAATCACCATAAGTCATCATCATCATCTTCATTACTGCTAAGCCCATAATATACCTGATTACTAAATATTATTAGTAATGTTCTCTAACATCTCTTGCAAGATGACCACTGAACAAATTATGCCAACTTTTCGACAAGTACAAGTATGGGCTAACACCTTGGCTGCTAATCCTTCCATCGAAACACAAGTGAATCTTCCCCTTCTACAACATAGCTGACATAAGGAACCCATCATAGATCAGAGATCACTTATCTGAACAACTGTAAATCATCCCTGTGATGCCTAATCTCTTACCTTGTTCCCTCAGGACCAGTGGACTAGCAACATGCTGCTTTCCTATCAGTGAGTTCAGCCCTGAAACATTTTAACTTGATGTCTAGCATTTTCTCCCAATTAGGAGTTACTGAAACCCAGGCATGGGAACACTGTGTCTTCCAACCAGTGCACTACTTCAAATGGTATAACACTGTGATCTGACCCCCCACCCACACACCAAACCCTTGGGCTAGGAATACAGTCTTTGTAGATGTGGCTGATACACTACAAAGACATTTGGCCAGAACAACAAACCATCTTTTATCCTTATGTTAAGCTTAAGTCCAGAATCATGCTTTAGATTTTTTAATTA